ATGCTATTTATACTAGCAGATTATTAAAATTCACAGATCTTCCTCAACCTGTCAATTCCAATAAAGTAACAATTATTGGTAATCATAAAGGTAACTATTAATTGTTTTTTAAACCAAAATTTAATATTTTATTAATTTTTATCTTTTTTAGATTCTCAACAGGTTGATTTAGATTTACTAGATATGTTGTAATTGTAAGTCTTCAAACAAATTAACAAAATTTGAACCAATTCAAATTGGATTACCTAGTTTTTGATTTATTTCATTTGAATTGATTACAAATTGTGCTTTGGCTCAATTTGAATTGATATATACTACTTAATATATAAATAAATTAACTCAATGTATCATGATTTGATTCAGATAAACTTTGTTTCATTGAAATGCAGTTTTTATATGTGTCCTGCATTCTGTCTCTGTCATGGTTACAGTCTGCCATTTGTATTCAACCAGTCACGTTTACTTCGTTGAAAATTATTTCGTCGAAAGTTTGTTTCATCGAATGTTCATTTCGTCGAAAATTATTTCATCCTCGAGCCAGAGACCGAACGAGTTAGATGTGAGGAGTGTGGGAAGTTAGTTAAGAAATTAGGTGAGGAAATTGGAATGTGTGGGAAGTGTGAGAAGAAATTTGTTTAATGAGTTTTTTTTTTTGTGACGAAATAATTTTTGACGAATGAACTTTCGATGAAACAAACTTTTGACGAAACAAACTTTTGACGAAATGGGTTCCGACAAACGAAATGAATCATACCCAATTATAAATGATCTGCATCATTGTATTTCCAGCCCTGGTGGGACATGAAAAACTACCTAAAACTGATTATTTATTCAACAGCAACAAGTAATTTTTCAATAAATATAAAAACATTCACTCACTCACTCATTCATTAAATTCATTTATTCATTTTTAGTAATAATCATTTTTATTTATATCTTTAATTTGCAACAAAAAAAATGTATCATTTAATATAATGTACAAATGTGTCAGTCGAAAGAATCTTTTAAGGTGGTGATGACCTAATTACAAAAAAGATGTCGCAAGAAACAATTCAAGCATGCATGTACCTGAAAAATTTGCCTAAAGAAAATAATATTACTAAACCATGAAATAATTTATTTTACAATTATGTCTGACCCGGGTACTAGACCTAGCCTGCTCAGAACACTAGAAATAGTAAGTTTTCAAGATTATTCTGCAGTTGATAATATTGATATGACTAATGTTGCAACAAACAACGAGCATGTACAGGTCACAAGCATCTGAAATAGTAGTCGATAACAATCCTTCCCATGATATTAATGATAAGAATCTTCTCTATTAATCAGAAATTTCCCCACTGAATATTCATTCATTTGAATAATTAATTAATGATCAAATGAATATTTGTTCATAAATAAATATTCTAATTTATCAAAATTATCAAATTTTTTTTTTCAAATAAGGGTGGATCAAGTTTTGTTTTTTTTGAGATTATTGTATTTCCAGCTTAACTAAATAACCTCTCGCTTGGGTGGAGGTTGTAGGTGCACACAAGTATTTAGTAGGCAAAACAGGAAATCTATGTTTCCACCACAAGAATTGATTATCTTTCCATATCCAACTTGACTTTTTAGAACCACCTTTTACTTGCTCTTCAAATATGAGCAGCAGAAAATTCCTCCCCTCTCATTATTATTACTTTCTTCTATTATAGGACTGAAGGCTCTTCTTCAAATGAATGAAATTAATTAATTTGGACGTGTTATTTGAATTCAGTTACACGAGATATTGATTATTAGTTTATCAGTTATTGTGTGCATTTGTATGTAAGATTATGCAAATCTCTCTGTAGAAAATTTTTACAAAAACCAAAAATGTATTAATGACATTTTTTCGGTTGGGTAATTTCTTAGAAATCGTAATGCCATAAATATGGCAGGTCAAGAAGTTAATTAAACTTGTGAAAAATATGGTTAGAAATTAGGTACAGTACACCAGTGAGTAGGGAAACGATTTGTTTAGTTGGTGATGGATTATTGTTGGTTACATAAGCGACAGAACCAAACTGTACAAAAAGGATATTTTCCAGTGGAAAAATGGTATTATTTGTTGACTATGACTGGATTAGAATTTATAGTTGAATCACGGGAAGAGGTGGGGGATAGATGGAGGTGGATTCATCGTACCAGTTTCTTTGAACTCTTTCGAAAGTTGGTTTCCACCACAGATTGGTTGGTGGCTGTGATTGCATGGTTTAGAAGTTTGTGCTACCAGAATGGTCGCTTATGATTATATTATATAGTTAATAAAAAATGTAATTTTTTCAAATTGAATTTATATATATATATTTTATTTTTATTGATTTTTAATACAATAAAATTCGATGCGAAATGTTAATATTAAATATAAATTGCAATGTAACAATGTGTTTGCAATGTTGGGTAGGCTGCACATCTTGAAATAAGGTTGTGCAATGGTACCCGTTTTACATCGCGATGAAATTTTATAATTTAAAGATCCTGATGTATGTAGCAGCTGAAAATGTAATTGTATTTCCTGGTTACCATGATAACTATATACGTTTGTAGCCTCAGCATAATTATGGAAGTAGATATGTGTGAACCTAAATTAAAAAATTTTACTTTTTATCATGTAATTTATTTATGTGTGAATACCTTACGTGAGGTAAATTGGAACTCGTCCATTTATCAAAATAAGGTGTGTTTTTATCTGTATGATCGGAAACTTCCACAAAAATGGACAATGCTGAGATAAATAAATTTATACGCATATGTACAGAAAAAAGAAGAAACATCCTTCCCAAGTGAGAGAGGAACTTCAAGCGAGACATTATTTTTAAATGAAGGGAAATAGTAGAAAAATACACTTGAAAATAAACTTCACTTGAAGTGGAGGACTACACTTGGGAATAGTAATAGATACCTCTTACGACTTCGAATTCGTCTTCCATCCTTTATTATAAAATTTTTTCAAGTTACGCGGATATGACTTGAATTTAAAAAGATCACCATTACAACTTTTTTTTTGCATAAGTATTTATCAAGAAGAATACACATTTGCCAAAGCAAACTCAATCAAGTCTCGAAGGAGTTATATACCCCGAATTCAAACTCCGAGATGTAACAAATGTGATTATCGTTTATATCTGCTTTAGCGTAACAGAAAATAAAATTTTAGCGGACATGTATCACAACATCATGCTTAAATAGATCGTCATAAATAACAATATTCCCTTTTTAAAATACACGCCAATCATTTACTCTTTAATTCCACCCAATTATTCAAAAAACGAAAATGATTTATTTGTAAAACTAAAGTTAATATATTAATATATGTTGTATGTGAAAAATGAATTCGCAATTCACATATGTGAAATTCAAATTTGCATATGTGAAATTCACCCCACTCTATAATATTTCAATTTCACATACAACATATGTATATATATTTTTATTTTTATTTTTATTTTTTTTTTTTATATATAAGAAAGATTCGTAGTTTTTTATGCAAACGATTTCCTTATTTGTATTTTCTTAGGTCAAGATTTGCAAGGCTTTTTGTAATAAATATGACTTTCCATTATAAAAACTCAACACAGACTTTTCATCTATTCTTAATTTAACGTTAATTAATTGCTTATATATAGTAAAAATTGGTCAGCTAAAACAAGTAATTTTTATATCATTTTAAAAAAAGTTAGCCGATAAGTTTTATTGTCCGTGACTCGAGCTTCAAACTTATCGGCTAGTTTTTTCTTAAATTAAAAATTGGCGTTTTAAAAGTTCTTTACGATTAAAAAGTACTTAATTATATCATCATTAATTAATATTGATTAAAAAAAAACATAATAATAAATAAACCTCTTAATTTGGTAAGTAATGTAAAAAAAATACGGTTAATCTGATCGCAGATCCAGATTTTTTTGGGCAGGGTTGGTTACATTAATTAATTAAAACACGTAAATAATGGAATTTGACATGAATCAAATATTTGTTCGGGTTAAAACAGGTTATAATAAACGCAGTATTAATTAGATACTTCATTAAAGTAGATATTTAGTCAATTAATTTCAATTCATTATAAATAAACCATTTTTTATGTTCATCATTTTTTCCTCAAATAAAAACTTTTTTTAGATTAGCTACCAATTTCATCACGACAAAATAAATTCACAATTATAACTACAACAATAATAATAATGTCTTCGGATAATAATAATAATAATAATAATAATGATGATGACGGCGATAAAGAAAAATTGTCAAGTATATTATTAACTGGAGAAGAAACTACAACAACAATAACAGCAACAACGATGACAGAAAAAGAAAAAGAAAAAGAAAAATCGCAAAATGAAGTAGTCGATTTTTCCATAATGGATGAATTACCGCCACAAAATAAAGAATCAGATGGTCCTTCTTCTTCAATTAACGAAAAAAAAATAAATGACAGTGACAATGATAAAAAGAACAAAAGAAAATCTGCAACAAAAAAAAAGGAAAAAGCTGAAACTGTACCTTTAATTAAACTATTTAGATTTGCTACTCCATCGGATATATTGTTTATGTTCGCTGGTACTATAGGTGCTCTTGGTAATGGTATAGCAATTCCAGTAATGTCCATAATATTTTCTGGTTTTATACAAACCTTTCTTGATTACAATCTGGCAATTAACACAGGACAACCAGCTGATGGAGCTGTGAATAAATTAGAAGACGGTGTTAAAACTTATGCATTTTATTTCATAGCTCTTGGTTGTTCCATTTTTGTATGTGCTAACTTACAAATGTGCTTTTGGATAATCACCGGCGAAAGACAAACAAAGGTAAACATATGTAATGATGATAATGATGATGATGATGATATTTTTATGATATTCTTTTTAATTTTTTTAAATTATTTTTAGAGAATTCGTACATTATTTTATTCATCAATTATTCATCAAGATATCGAATTTTTTGATGATACATCAACTGGTGATATAACTACACGTGTTTCAGGTGATATTAGTATATTACAAGAAGGCATGTCTGAAAAAGTAGGATTCATAATTCAACAATTCACTTGTTTCATTGGAGGTTTTATTGTTGCTTTAGTTAAAGGTAAATAATAATAATATAAAAAAGAAGAAACAAAGATAAAGAAGTTTAATCTTTTGATCTTTTTTATAGTATGGAAATTAACACTCGTGCTTTGTTCTGTACTTCCACTTCTTGCAATTTCTGGTGTTGTCATATCAAAATCTTTATCTAGCGATGCATCAGAAGGTCAAGGTAAAACAAAAATCATCAATATATATGTAATAACAACTTTATATGTTTATATGAATTAATAAATGAAATTAAACGTTCATTTTTCACATTTAGACGCATATGCTGCAGCAGGTGGTGTTGCAGAACAAGTATTATCCGGGATTAGAACAGTAGTGGCATTTGGTGGTGAACAGCGTGAAATACAACGTTACATCTCAAAACTTGAAATAGCATATAAATTTGGTAAAAGAAAGTCAATTGTGAATGGCTTAGGAATGGGTTTCATGTTAATTGCAATGTTTGGTAGTTATGGCTTAGCTTTTTGGTATGGTAGTATTTTGATCGTTAATGGCGAAGAAAATGGTGGTGATATTTTAAATGCATTTTTTGCTGTCATGATTGGTGGTAAGTTATATAAATATATATTATTTAATTATAAAATCACATTTATAAATATCATTTTTAATCTATATTTATATGGCTTCTTTTTAGCATTTTCAATTGGTAACGCAGCTCCATATCTCGCATCAGTTAGCAATGCACTTGGTGCTGCTGCAAAAATCTACAAGATAATAGATAGAGTACCAAAGATCGATTCATCTGCCGACAAAGGCAAAAAATTTGCCAAATCTGAGCTTAAAGGTTTCATCGAATTTAAAAATATCAGTTTTTCTTATCCGTCAAGACCAGATATACAAGTCTTAAAAGATTTTAATTTGACAATTGAACCTGGCCAAACTGTTGCTTTGGTTGGTTCATCTGGCTCAGGAAAATCAACTATAGTCGGTCTAATTGAAAGATTTTATGATCCGTTGGAGGGTGAAATTTTATTTGACGGCATCAAAATCAAAGACATAAATATCAAATCGTTAAGAACTCAAATTGGTATGGTTGGTCAAGAACCCGTTTTATTTCCAGAAACTATCAAACAAAATATCATTTGGGGTGCTGATCCTGATGATGCTAAAGAACCTAGCCTAGATGAAATAATTGAAGTTTGTAAGAGATCAAATGCTCATGATTTCATTGATGAATTGCCCAATAAATATGATACTTTGGTCGGTGAAAAAGGCTCTTTGATCTCAGGTGGTCAAAAACAAAGACTTGCAATTGCAAGAGCTTTAATCAAAAACCCTCCTATCCTTTTACTTGATGAAGCCACTTCTGCTCTTGACACTGAATCTGAAGGACTCGTACAAGAAGCGCTTGATAAAGCCTCAACAAACCGTACTACAATTGTTATAGCTCATCGTTTATCAACAATCAAAAATGCTGATAAAATCGTTGTAATGTCAAAAGGTGAAATTAAAGAAATTGGTAAGCATGACGAATTGATTGAAAGAGGTGGACTATATTATGGATTAGTTAAGGCACAAGAATTAAAAAAATCTCATCACAAGGGAAAAAAAGATGCGAAAGGTGAAATTGAAGATGATGATGATGATGATGATGATAGTAGTGAAGATTTAAGTACCCAACCAACAGAAGAAGATGAGACTTCTGTTATAATTGACGACAACTCAAATAAATTAAATCTGAAACGTCTTACGACCAAAGCATCTACCACTAAATCAGTTAAACTTACTGACGAAGAAATCGAAAAAGATAGATTGGAAAAGTTAAAACAAAAAACACCTTTAGGCAGAGTATTTAATTTAAATAAATCAGAATGGTACTTAATAGTTCCCGGTTCTATTGGTGCTATATTTACTGGATCAGTCATGCCTTTATTTGCCTTGGTGTTTTCTTCAATCTTGGAAGTATTTTCTAGAACTGATGAGTAAGTTGATAGATAAGTAATATATATATATATATATATATGTATATATAATTTTTTTTTTAAAAAAAAAAGCGATTTTAACTAATTAACATTATATGTTTTATATTTAGTCCTGATGGACTTAGAAGTAAAGCAAATTTTTGGGCATCAATGTTTGCAGTCCTTGCATTAGTAGCGGGATTAGCAAACTTTTGTCAAATAGCATTATTTTCATTATCAGCTGAAAAATTGACAAAACGTCTACGTATCATGACATTCACATCACTTGTCAAACAAGAAGTTGCCTTTTTCGATGATGAAAAAAATGGAACAGGTGTTTTAACTTCCAAGTTAGCCGTTGACGCTTCAAAAGTTGAGGGTTTAACTGGTAGTTTGATGGGCAGTATAATACAAAACGCCACTAATTTGGTTCTTGGTTTAGTAAGTATTTTTATTTTATATTTTTTGGGGAAAAATATAATTTTATTATTGATTAATTGATTCGAGTATTATTATTTTGCTTTCAAAGGGAATTGCATTTTATTTCGGTTGGAAGCTTACATTAGTAATTTTAGCCGCCTCGCCAATCATCGCAATTGCTGGTTACTTGGAATTTAAAGCTCTTGCGGGTTTTGGTACAAAGGTAATTAACATTGTTTATTATCATCATCATCATTATTTTTACATCTACACAGTGAATCTCGATTTAGCGGATAGTTTGGCGATTAGGAAAAGTTTTCCAAAAATTCGTTAAACCGAGATATCCACTATATCGAGAAGGTTTTTATTAAGGTTTATTATGGGACCGTCTTTTGAACTTTATCCGTAAAACCGAGATTTTTAATTAGTATCCGCTAAATCGAGATTCATTGTGTTAATATTTTAAATCAATACTAAATTATTAATAAATTTCCATTCTATTTGTATATATATTTATGATTAGACAAGTAAAGCATATGAATCAACAGGACAAATTGTACAACAAAGTGTATCTAACATGAGGACAATAGCATCTTTGTCAAGAGAAGAGACATTTAAAAATAGGTTTATTGATGCGCTTAGAGAACCACATAAAATTGCTATCAAAGGTTCAACACTTGTTGGCTTTGGCTTTGGTGCGTCACAGGGTTTCGTATATTTCATTTGGTCATTAGCTTTTTGGTATGGTTCAAGGTTGATCATTAGCGGAGAATATACTACAGAAACAATGTTTAGAGTTTTATTCGTTGTTATTTTTTCTGCTGTTGCTGTTGGTCAAATGAGTTCTTTTGCACCAAATACTGCAAATGCTAAAGTAGCAGCCATCTCGATATTCGAAATAATTGATCGTAAATCAAAAATTGATGCAACTGATAGCGAGGGTAAAGATCGCCCAACGCCTGTTACAGGAGAATCAACAATTAAAGATGTGCATTTTAATTATCCAGCGAGACCAGACATAAAAATATTAAAAGGTTTAGATATGTCAGTTGACGCAGGGAAAACAATAGCTTTAGTAGGATCGTCTGGAAGCGGTAAATCAACAGTTGTATCATTATTGTTGAGATTTTATGATGTCAATTCAGGATCTGTTGAAGTTGAAAAGGTTGACGTCAAAACTTGGAATTTAGAATACTTGAGATCAAATTTGGCCCTAGTTGGACAAGAGCCCATATTATTTGATTTAACTATTGGAGAAAATATTGCATATGGCAAAGAAGGTGCATCGCAAGATGAGATTGAAAATGCAGCAAAAGGTGCTAACATACACGATTTCATTATGAGTTTGACAGATAAATATGACACAAAAACTGGAGAAAAAGGAACACAATTAAGCGGTGGGCAAAAACAAAGAGTTGCAATCGCAAGAGCATTGATACGATCACCAAAATTATTGTTACTTGACGAAGCAACATCAGCTTTAGATTCGGAAAGTGAAAAGGTTGTTCAAGTTGCATTAGATAAAGCAAGTAAAGGTCGTACGACCTTAACTATTGCGCACAGATTATCAACAATACAAAATGCTGATTTGATATTAGTATGTAAGAAAGGTAAAATTGTGGAAAGTGGCAAACATTCAGAATTGATTTCTCAGAAAGGTTTATATTACGATTTAGTGAATAGACAAACCTTGACAAATCAAGCAAGTTAATTACAATTTTAAAAATTTAGAAATTTTATTTGTAAAATCATAATTTTTTTATTTTTGTTTTTGGAAGATTTTTTTAAGATTTAAGTTTTATAATTTATATAATACTAATAAATAATAACAATAATAATAATATTAATAATAAATAATAAAATATATAATTAAAAAATATAAAAATATTGTGTCACGTGTAACGTTCGAAATAATACTCGATAGCAATATAACAATAAAGGATAGAAAGAGGACACAAAATATTCATTTACCCGATAGATCCTTTCTAAATAAAAAATTACACGTAAATTTTTCAACGATATAAATAATAGTAATAGTAATTGTCGCGAACATTTGAAATTGTCACAAAGAACACTAGTCATATGCACATGGTGAATATGTAAAAGTTTTGTTGACGAGCATATAAAATAAAAAATAACAATAAAGGAAACAAAATATTTTCCTTTTTCTAATTTTATTTTAAAAGATATTCTTTTTAATTTTTAATAATCATCTTCTTTTCTTCTTCTCCTTCTTCTCCTCCTCTTTTACAAATAAATCACCATCGCTTGTCTTTTATTATTATAAACGGCAGCTATATCTCCACCCTTCATAATGTTTCTTTATCTTTGAGATTATATTCAACTGATTTTAAAAATTAGAAAGCTTATTTATATAATGATAATTAGAATTTTTTACGTTTTTATTTTACCTACGATGAGGTAATGAATGGTATCTATTTACTTTGGAGAGACGAAATTGAAAGTGAAATCGAATGTTTATTTGTAATAAAAATTTTGAATATATTTTTCTGTTCTTAAGTCAAAGAATTTTTAAAGAGTTTTAAATGCATTTTTTCTTCTTTTCCCTTGTCGTTGGAATTTATTCAGTTGCTCGATATTATAATTAATTGATAATTAACTTGCTTGGTTTATCAAGGTTTGTCTATTAATTAAATCAATATAAACCTCTCTGGTAAATCAATTCTAAATGTTTACCACTTTCCAGTTTTTCCATCTTTTTCACAAAGAAAACCAACTATTGATTTTCAATTACTTTCATGGTTAGATTCATTACAATAAATGTCTAGGCAAGCATCTCGTGAGCTTTTTTTGTGTTGCACAAATTTCGCTTAATGAAATGGTGAGAGCACATAAAAAATTAAAAAAAATTTCACTGAAAAAAAAAATGAACCAAGATTGTATCTATAGAATCTTGGAATATTTATCAGAAGATAAAAAAACATTATTATCATGTCTATTCGTCAATAGAAAGTGGTGTCAGATAGCAGTAAAGATTCTTTGGAGAGATCCCTTTCAAAATATAAAAAATGAACATTGGTTATTAATTTCACGAACAATTTATTACTGTTTACCTGAAGATTCAAAAAGAAATATAAAGAATTCGGGGATTATTATAAATTTTGATTATTCAATCTTATCATCATCATCGTCACCATCATTAACAAAAGAAACAGAAGTAGTTCCATTTTTTGACTATCTCAGTTACTGTCAAATATTATCTGTTCAAGATATATATGATATTGATTATAGTATTAATACTTGTGGGAGAAGATTTATGACCATTCATAAATCCACAATAGTTTCAGATGAATTGTTAAAAGTGTTTCTAAAAAAATGCCGTCTAAAATTTTTTGAAATAAAAAATATTGATGATATATTTAATAATATTAATATTAATATTAATATTAATAATAATGGAGAAGGAAACTGTAGTATTGGTGATCTTGACATTTCTAGCAATATTAATGATGTTAAGAGTATTAGCATTAGTGGTGATGAGCTTAGTAATGTTAGCAATGGTAATGTTAATAGTGACAAAAATAACAATTCAATCAATTTAACATACAAAGTTTACCATTTAAAGGTTTGGAATGATTTATCACCTTCGATTTTAAGAAAGATCTCAAGAATGTTTCATGATATTAAGATATTAACAATAAAATTTTGTCATTATGTGATTATTAATAATAGACCAGAAATTAAAAACCTTATAGAATCACAAAAATCTTTGCAAGAAATTAATTTGTTAAACGATTCTTTCTTTATATTTAAAGAAATTGATGATTCAATCTCAAAACATTCAGAAACTTTAATCAGTTTGAATTTTAAATCAAATTTTGTTTTTGAATTAAATAACTTAAATAGATTAAATAATTTAAGAAAACTTGTAATCGATATAGTGGAAATTTCTTTGCGTTTAGAATTTTTAGATTCAATAAGTTTCCCAAATCTTGAGAAACTTTTTGTTTTTGGTGATCAAAACGATATCAGAACAACTTTGGATTTAAAATTTTGTACAAAAATAATAGAGAAAACTAAAGGAAATATGAAAACTATAAGAATAGAATCAAACAAATTTCTAAACGGTACTTGGCGTTATATCAAATCGATACCTGTTCATTGTCCAAAAATTCAAAAGCTTACGATATTTTACGACAACCTCAACTTTCTTGGTTTATCAATGAAAGAAGACTTTGAAAATATTTTGAGATCTTGTAAATATTTAAAGATTTTATATGTTCAAGAGTTTCACCATAGTAACTTTTGTTTCCTTGATGGTAATCAGATTTTGAGTTCTTTGGCAGGTCATTTATCTTCAAATATTTTTAAAGAGCTACATATGATCGGTAATTGGACAATTTCTCTTGATGGATTTAAAATCTTTTGTGAACTTTGTAAAATTAGAAATAGAAAAAAAATTACTTTGAAATTTTGGTTTGATGAAGGAATTTGTCAAGATGGTTTTGTTAAAATTTATGAGAATTTTGTTGATTATGGAATTTTAAAATCTTTAGAATTTGGTTGGAATAGCAAAAAAAAAAATATTAAAAGAATTTTAAATTATGAAGAAGACATTATTATATGAACATTGGATTAGATAAACTAGATTAGTTTTTTTATTGTACAATATTAAAATTTGTAATGCTTAAATTCAACACATGTATATTAATATGTATATGCATATACGCATACATAGACAATTACCATTAAAATAAAATAATTATAATTTTCCCCTTCCTTTTCCCAACAAAAAAAAAAAAATAATGAAAAATAATTATAATTAATTAATTAATCAACCAATCGATTGATTGATTGATTGTAATCTTTATGGAGAATCGCCGGCAGTGAAGCGAAGGATGAAATTGAAGAGTACGGCAACTATTAGAAATTTATAAAATTATTATTTAAGAATTACTAGCAATAACAGTAATAACAGCGATTAAGACGACGATGATAATAATAAAAATAATAAAAGACTTACGGACGAGGAAAAAACAAAGAAATGTAGGTCCATATCTATCATCATAAGAACCTGCTTCTCTTTTTCTTATCTTGGAGGCCCTCCAATGATATATGTATAACGCGTATCCCATGAATGACATGGCTTTGAAAAAAATAAATAATACAATATATATTAATATACGCAAACATAGAGTTCTTTCATTCTCTTTATTCAATTGTTTAATTTTTTATTTTATAATTAATCAAGTTACCAAGTAAAGTGAATACTGCTCCAGAAATCCTGGCGACTTTATCATCACCGAAGTTGAGGAGACCAATTGCCAAACCACCCAGGACAACAGTAAATTGAAGCCAGGATAAAAAGGTACGTTCGTTGGCAAAAAATACCTAAACGATTATTTTAAAAGAAAAAATAAATTGGCTTGAATGATCAAGAATACAAATACGACAATTTTTTTTTATTGATTTAAAAAGAGCTGATCTACTTTAGGTTCAACTCTAGTTGGGAGAACTATGCGTTTTTGAAGTGGACCTTGAAGAAGTGGTTGAGTCGACATTGTTAGTACAATTTAGAATTTATTAATTATGATCGCGAATATTATTATAGTATATATTATTCCAATAATCTTTTCAATAAAAATTTTTTGTGGGATATTTTCTTCGATGATCAATTAATTTAAACTGTTGACTGATTTTACTAGCAAAACCCCGGTTACACTATTTACTATTTAAATTTTGAATTATAAATTGTAGGCTGAATGAATTTCGGCAGATAAGGGAATGGCCACAATATTTACAAATAAAAATAATCAATCAAATCAATAAAAAACATTAAAATATAAATCTCTGATTTTTATAGTTAGTACAACAACTCTAGCTTTATTATTACTATTATAATAAAAGGTGCCTCTTTTAAAAATATAAGAAATTGTTACACGAAAATTTGCTCTCTCATTCAAAAAAAAATTGGAGAATTGATTTTTACAAGTAATTAAAGTCATGAAATTTGCAAAACAGCTGGCTTTAAGAACCATTCAATCATGGTCTGAATATTATTTGGACTATAAAAGTCTTAAAAAGTATATTAAAGAGGCATCTGCAAATTATCATGGTAGAATTTATCTTTTAATTCACTATTTATATTGTATGAATTTAGTTAGTTTGAATTTCAAAAGTTTGCTAATTTTTAATAATTGTAATTGAAAAAAAAATAAAAAGCAAACAATCGTGATCCAGACATATTAAAGAAAACTTTGGAGGAATTTCGTGAATTATTACTTGTCGAATTAAAAAAAGTAGATTCGCGTTTCGAACAAGTTGAAATAGAATCATCTACGGTTTTAGACGAATTGAGCGCTAGAGTATGATCCCGATTAATTTGATAATTTGATCTGTTGTGTATTTATATTAAATTATTTGGTTTGTTTTTTTTTTAAAAAAAAAGTCGCATAAAACAATGACAACTGAACAAATAGATCAATGGTAGGCAAGATTTTTATTAATTTAATTTAATCTATTGCGTTTTTTTTTTTTTTTTTGGCGTTAGGTAAGAATCTAACATTATCGATTTTTATGTGAAATAATAGGCGAAAAGATATGACAATGCTTTTACAAACATTAGAATCAATGAATGGTTTATATTATTTTTGTTTGATTGATTGATTGGTAAAGGCATAAATTTATTAATTGACATGGTTTTAATACAAAAGAATTCACTGATACAAACGTCATGGGTTTCCAGAAGATTTTGAAAAAATTTGATAAATATTTGTATCAAACATCATCTGAAGTAAGCAGTTCGGCACCTCCGGAAAACCCAATTGCAAACAAGTCAAATAATACCACTTTAAGTTTTTATTTGACTCCAGATATTTCTGATAATGCCGAAGGAAATTTTACACGTGTAATAAATAAAAATAGTCACAATCGATATAGTTTCACTCCAATTGGAAAAGATTTATGGGCATTAGTTTTAAAACATAAGTTCGCCACAAGTGAAGCTGATGAGATATTGTTGTCACGTGCTAGACAGGTAAACAACAAGTTTTATTTAAGAAATTATATATAAATTATATAATAACATTGTTAATGTTTTATTCATTAGCTTTGGAGAAAACGTGTACCATTATCTCCTGCTGTAACACCCTTAGTAGAAGATTTATCAGCATTAACGATTGAAGATTCCTCAATTCCAACTATAAATTCATTAGATTTAGATGTTTTACCCAATGGCAAAGTTTCAATGCTGTGGGTAGTTTTAGCAGAAGATGGTTTAAGTTTACCAATTAAAGTACCCGTAATGGTTGCAAAGGTATCTGATAAAAGCATTTTTTCATTTAAACAATATGTTAGGTGCAATTGGCCTTGATTGGTTTAAAACTTTGTATTTATTTACTGACAGATCAGTTTGTTTATGTCATGAAATATTATGAATGAAAGGGAGTTAAAGATGGACCTGTAGTTGGTTTGGTAAAAATATTGATAATTTCTCTCGCTCTTTTGATACATGTATAAAAATTGAATTAATATAATTGATATATGAAATTTTTTTTAAAAAAGACTGCAGCATTACATGGTAATGAATTAAACGGAATTCCACTAATTCATCGACTAATGTCTCAAGATTTGAATTGCAATAATTTACACGGCGTGGTAGTATCAGTCCCTGTTGCTAATGTGCCTGGATATTTGGCAGGTCAACGTACATTCAGCGATGGCCAAGATCTTAATCGTGTTATGCCAGGAAAACCTAACGGTAGCACTTCGCAGGTTTATGCGTATAATTTGATCGATCGTATTGTGAGCAAATTTACTCATTTAATTGATCTACATACCGCATCAAAGGGGAGAGCAAATTCTCTTTATGTTAGAGCTAATATGAATGATCCCAGAACCAGAAGAATGGCCAAATTGCAAAACCCTCAGGTAGCTGATTCTATAACCCCCCCCCCAACGATCATATCTACACTTTTTAACAATTGTTTCTAAACCTTTTTTTTTCCATAAAAATATTAACAAAAATTTTAGATCATTGTTCATAATACGTCACCTGATGGTTCATTACGTGGGGCAGCAATGGAAAGAGGAATTCCTGCCATCACTGGTATTTTCACAAAATCTCATTGATTGATTGGTTGATTGATTAATAGACTTATTATGTGTTTAAACTTAGTTGAAATCGGTGACCCATCAAAATTTCAAAAAAGATTTGTTAAAACTGCACTCCAAGGTGTAACAAACATTCTTAGTAACTTAAAAATGGTTCCTGATGAAAATCAATCACCGGAATATGATCCTGTAGTTTGTGCTAGAAGTGTTAGTGGCATTTTATTTGTTTGTTTGTTTTTACGATTTCCCAAAAATTAAATTATTTTTTATTTATATATAGTATTGGATTTTTGCTAAAAGAGGCGGTATTCTAAATGGTATTCAGAACCTTTTCCCTTAACTGCGTTTATTTTTCCATTAATTATAATAATAAGCCCACTCCACATACATCATATATTATTCATTTATGTATAAATAGTCATACCAGATGTAAATACATGGGTCAAAAAAAATGAAATAATTGCCACTTTAGATTCTGTTTTTGGAATACTTGTTGAAACTTATTTTGCTCCTGAAGATGGAATAGTAATTGGTAAAGAAATGTATCCGGTATGTCAATCTGGTCAAAGGATCTTACATCTTGGCGCTGTCGATGATAAATTCGAAGCTAAAGTAGATGATGGACATTTGTGATTTATAAAGGTTTATATATATATATATATACATATATCAATTTGTTTATTAAAATATATATACACAATTTTTAATATATGTTAATATAAATATAGACAAATAATTTTTTTTTTGTTTTATTTTTTTTTTAAAAAAAATAAAAAAGAAAAAATTTACATTTAAAAATTTTAAAAGTAATATTAATGTTTATTTTTTTTTATAAAAAAATATATTTATAATTATAATAAAATAACCCTATCAAAAATAATAATTTTCTAAAATTACAAATAAATAAATAATTAAACAAATTAAATAAATATTAATGATGATGATGATGATGATGATGACGATTTATGATAATGATTATGATGATGATGATAATGATGATGATGATGATAATGAAAGGTGATGCTAACCAATGTATATTATCACGATGATTCTATGGATAAAAATCTTCTTCCCAATAGAGATTTCATAATTGATTGAACGAAGGATTTGAAAGATGTAATTAGGTGATTGGCAATATGAGGAGGTATAGGTGATCTCGGTATTTCATACGATGACGATTGTCCATTCTCTATAAGCTTTTGTGACATCAAAGGAGGAATGGGTGGCACAACGCTGGTGGTTATCGCGTTTGTTGCATCTACGAATGTATCTAAAAGTCTATACCATAATAGTTCGCTTTCGTTCTCAGGTGCACGACTTATTTGAGTAAGTGTTGCATCAATTATTAAACCAGCACTAGGTGATGTATCATGTCGACTACTATTCTCACACAAAAGAATACCAATTTTTAATACCCCTTTTAACTTCATTAAAGTACTATCAACTTCTGTTTTTTCTATTAGTGACCATCGATCACTTTTGGAATTCTTTTTCCTTTCAATCAAATCAAGTATGCTTTTCTTTTTTTCTTGAACAATATTTATAATTTTATTGAGTGCTCCCATCGGTTTACCACTTTTTTCTAAGAGCCAAACAACCGCATCTAGCGTACCAGAAGATTCGCAAATAGGAAGTACATTTTCTATTCGATATTTATTTTGATGGGTTTGTAAATAATGGTAGACACCAGTTGGATCAAATTGGCCCATTAATGCAATGTATTTTTCATGAATTTCCGGATCAAGGCATGACTCATCTGCAGATGTTTCTGGATCATATATTTGTTCGTTAACAGACTTTATCCTTACCAATTGACAATTGTTTGTTTCGTCGTCTTGAGAAGGTTCCAACAGGCCCCTTAAATATAAAAACAGACGCGCTGGAGATGACGATAAATTAGTAATCACTGTTTGGTGATCACCACGAAAATATGTTTTTATTATTGAAGCAGTTTTTTCTCCATCAATCTCAACAAATTCTTCGATCCTCATCATTATTGTATTTAATATGTCATCTCGTTGTTTCTCTGTTAATTTATTCTCTTGACCCAACAATTCTTCAATACATTTAAAAGCTTCATTCTTTTGTGCTGGATCTTTAAGATATGTTGTAATTAGCAAACCATATTTTTTATCAACTTTATAAATGTGTTCTAGAACCCTCGAAAAACCCGCGTTTTCATATAGCTCAATCATTTTATTTTCATCATTTGGTGTATATATTGACAATAAACATTCGACAGCAAATTGTCTTACTTCGCGTGTTTGGGAATCATTATCTTTGCTAAGATAAACAAGTATTCTGTGCAAAGTAGAATGTGGTAATAATAAAAATTGTGGATATTTAGGTAAATTCCTTGCAACAAAACAATATAAATGGGAAATGTCTGAATGTGCAAATTCTGACGATTCAGGAAAACCAGATGTCATGACCTCTAACAAGATATTGACCAATAATTGTCGATTAATGATTTTCCCTGGTAACTCTTCCTCATAATAATAATCATAATCATTATTCGTAATTATTTCCACTCCATTTAAATAAGAATCCTCAAACGCCTCATCCAAAGCTTGTAAAAATGCCTTCGTGTCATATTTTAAAAATAATCTTAAATATGGATATGTTGGTTCGGTGTCATTATGATTATTTTCAGCAGTAAGAATCAATTCGCCGCCACTTTTTGGCCATACAACACAAAGGCCTGAAAATACAAATGAATATAAAGATGTCCGAGCTTCATTGGCCTCAATTTCGCTAAGTGGGGCACCATTAGGATATGTATTACCGGTAAGTATATTCCTTAAATATGTATAAAATTTATGGGCATTTTCCTTCATTGTTTGTAGGTCATTTCCTTCACTGAACTTATTTGAATCAAATGAATTGCTGCTATTGTGAGAATGTCTGTGTTTTTTCTTTTTATGACGTTTTTCTAAAGATAAAACTTTTCTTATGACACCGAGTAATTCAACAGCAGGGCTAACATAATCAAACATCGATCTATTCCAAACATAGATTAATGCATCATATAAACCTTCACTTTGACATAATTGAACCAGCTGATCTATGTCTAAACATTGAGGATTTATACGCCATATACATTGTTCAATTCGTGAAAGCATTCTGTGAGTTTCATAATGGTTTACCAGATCCTTCATTATTTCTGGTGGAAGATCATTTATTTTGTTATCAAGAATATAAGGCTCTAACACTTCAAGTAGAATTCCTTTAGCAGAAGCTTCAGCATACCTTTCGTAAACATCATTGAAAAGGAAATCCTCTTTATGCATGCTAAGACAAGCTTCAATGCATCCGACAGCAAGATCATGAAATAATACACCTCCACCGCCACCATTATTTTCATCGATCATACCTTGAAATGTTCTTTCACTTGAAAAAGCATGATTTATGGAATCAATCAATAAACTCATTAATTCCTCGCCTACAATTGCATGACGACTTTCTTCGTCGATTGGTAAACCAAGAATTGTTTGTGATGAGCTACCATTATAAAATAATGTGGCTAAAGATATTGCTTCAAGAAAATCACCAGATTGAACAAACGCATCTATTCTATCATTCCATGATAGTAAAGTGCCCACATAAATTTGATTAACACCCTTTTAAATTGTAAAAAAAAAATTTGCAACGTGTGAATATATTTATAGATACATATACAACTCACATGTATTAATATAACTATTAAATGAACCTACCAATAGGAATAGATTTCCTTTATAAACACGCAAACTATGATAATAAGCCAAATCAATGCTTGATCGGTAATTACTAAACTGTAAATTTGACTCGTCAATAACTTCTTTTAAAAATGACGAAAATCGATCATGATAAACTAATGATCGTTGTCGGATATTACTTTCTTCACTTTCTCGCATATATCTCGGGTCAAAAACCACTATATCTTCATTGTTTGTTAAAATTAACAAAACCTAAATAAAATAATAAAATAAAAATCAATGTAAATTCCAATTTTTATAATTATATCTAAATATAAGTATATATGTTTAAAGCTAACATGCGGAGAAAGCCATTGTAATCCAACAATCCCATTTTTAGCCTTCCATTCACCAATTTTAATAAATTCCAACCGATTTTCACGATCAGGCCTCCTCTTTTTTTTATTGGAAGCATCAGAATACGATGATGCAGAAGTGACCGTTACGATGTGTAAATGGTTACCCCATGAATATGCAAGTAAAGGGTCTGAATAAATGATAGGGCTATCTGTTGTTGTTGTTATTATAGTTATTAGAAAATATAAAGATATGTTATTAATTTGTATTTAGAATGTTTTTTTTTCTTCAATAAATAATAATTTAAATAACAAACAAAATATTTATATATTATGAATAAAACTGGTTTAACCTCGAGTAAGTTGAGATTTAACAGCAGGATACCAAGCTAGACAGCCAGAAAAGGTATTCGATGTAGACATAGCGTCATTTGGATTATTTTTTGGCTTTAAATATTTATATTGTGTTTGAGCTGTCGGCTTTGTGCTCACTACAATCATCTATACAATAATAATAATAATAAATTTAATATTTTCTTAATTGAAAGATTGAAAATATATATATTATTTAAATAAACCTTATAAGGTGTTAATATGGCTACAAGTCCAAAGCTCTCCGAAACATGTGAGATTTGCCCAAGAGGTAATGGGGCTAAACCAAAAACCGTACTAGGTCTTTTTTGTTTTGCTGCAGTGCGAGAATCTGTTTGTGGTTTTGGTAATGAATATCTACCAAGAATACGAATTGTTTCTATACGATTTACCATCATAAACTTGTATAAACTATGGTAAAAGGCCATTCCCTAGATAGATATATAAACATAATATATGTAAAGTATAAATATATGTATGTGTATATATGAATAAGTATATGATCTATGGACATACACAATCATCTCCTGAAACAATACAATTTTTTCGAGCGCCGACAAATCCAACATGTAAAATTGCAGAACCACTGATATGACCTTCTTTTCTTCCAGAAAATGCAATAGATTCTGAAATAGGCAATATTGTTGTAACAGGACTTGTAGATCGTTGAATATCCCACATAAAAATATGACCGCTTGCATGACCACTAACAATTTGGGTATTATCAGAAGAAATAGCAAGAGATGTAACTGAACCATATTCTAAAGCTATAATTTTTTTTGAAAAATTTTAATAATAAATAATAAATTCGTATTAATAATTAAACAATAAATTAAATTACCATCTGAAGAATTGCCAAAAACATATTTTAAATTTGAATAATCATAGACTAATATCAATCCACGTGTTGTGCCAATAGCAATTATATTTCCCACCTAAAACCAACAAATTCAACGGTAAAAATTTCTGATTAATTGTGGTCAACATAACAATAACAATGATTATGTAAGATTAACCTAGCAGCAGTAGTACTAGTAAATGAAACACTAACAGCAAAAACTGTAGCTAATCCAGCACTTTGAGTAACATTGTGAGAGAATAAATGTTCAGAGACTTTTATTAATGGTGACCATCTAAATGCTTCCCATGGTTCAGGTGGAACAAGTAATCCTAATTCTTCAAGATCTAAGACAGATTGTGTTGATTGTGAATGCCTGCTAGAGGAAGAGTATGATCGAATTGATGCAACTGATGCTGAAGAAAGTCGTGAAAAACTTTGATCGGGGGCTCTTAAAAAGCGAGTTGATGATAATGATGATGCAGCGTAAGTTGCGCCAGATTTACGAGTAGTATCTGATAACGAATCCTAATGATTATATTATTGTTAGTATAAAACTCTCTTACATTCATATGTGGTATGTTGCATTTGTATGACAACAATAGGAAATATCCAGAAAACAATGTTAACCTCAAATATATGTGTTCCTGATTCCGTATCTATAGTTTCAGAATCAATAAAATCTTCATCACTCGAATCTTCCGATTCGTTTAAAATTCTTTCCAAGTTTAAATGTTGGGCTAATGTTAAAAAAATATAAATTGAATTTTAATATTTTACAAGTATATATTAATTTGAAGTTGAATTTATTTAATGATCGATACCTTTATTTACAAATTCTTCATATAATGCAGTTTCTTTCATAACTCTTTCGAGAAGGTCTGAAACGCCTTTCCTTCGTTGAGTACCTAAAGTTGATGGATCAGACAATGG